CATAGTTTGGGATCCCGACACCAAAAACGTGAGTGTGTCGAATCCCCAAACGCGCGAGAACACACGAGAAAAAAAAAAAATCGACATGGGCGAGAATATCTAACTAAAGCACTGTCCAAATCGATAGACTTCCACAAGTGAAATACACGTGTGTAAATTTAAGGGAGGGCCAAAAGAAGCATCGTTAAACAGCCCAGAAACAATAGTTTGGGATCCAAAAACCAAAAACACGAGTGTGCCGCATCGCTAAACGCGCAAAAACACGCAGGAGAAAAGAAAATTCACATGGGCGAGAATCTCCAGCGCAAGCACTATCCAAATCGATCGACTTCCACAAGTGAAATACACCTGTGTAGATTTGGGGGAGGGCCAAAACTAGAAACTATTAAAAACCCAGTAAGCATAGTTTAAGATCCTGGCACCGAAAGCGCGAGTGTGGCACGTTGCTTAACTTGCGAGAACAATTGAGATGAAGGAAAAATAACATGGGCCAGAATCTCCAACGCAGGCGCTATTCAAATCAAAATATTTTCACAAGTAAAATAATCGTGTGTATATTTGGGGGAGGGCAAAAACTAGCATATTTAAGAAGTCAGGTAAACATAGTTAAGGATCCCGACACCAAAGACGCGACTGTGCCGCAACACTAAACGTGCAAGAAGATGCGAGAGAAAAGAAAATTGACACGGGCGAGAATCTCCAACCCAAGCACTTTCCAATTCGATAGATTTCCAGAAGTGAAATACACTTGTGTCGATTTGGGGGAGGACCAAAACTAGCATCTTTAAAAGAGCCCAGTAAGCATAGTTTGGGATTCCTATACCAAAAACGCGAGTGTGCCTCGATCATCGCTAAACGCGCAAAAACACGTAGCAGAAAGGAAAACAAATATAGGCCAGAATCTCCAATCCAAGCACTGTTTAAAGCGATAGACTTCCACAAGTGAAATACACGTGTGTAGAATTGGGGGAGGACCAAAACTAGCATCTTTAAAAAATCCAGTAACCATAGTTTGGGATCCTGAAACCAAAAACGCGAGTGTGCCGTATCCCCAAACGCGCGAGAACACACGAGAGAAAAAAAATTGGCATGGGCGAGAATCTCTAACTAAAGCGCTGTCCAAATCGATAGACTTCCACAAGTGAAATACACGTGTGTAAATTTAAGGGAGGGCCTAAAGAAGCATCGTTAAACAGTCCAGAAACAATAGTTTGGGATCCCAAATCCAAAAACACGAGTGTGCCGCATCGCTAAATGCGCAGAAACACACAAGAGAAAACAAAATTGACATGGGCGAGAATCTCCAACCCAAGCACTGTCCAAATCGACAGACTTCCCCAAGTGAAATAGACTTGAGTAGATTTGGAGGAGAGTCAAAAAAAGCGTCTTCAAAAAGCAAAGTAAGGATAGTTTGGGATCCCGAAACCAAAAACTGGAGTGTGCCTCATTCTGTGGGACCTAAAAGAACCCACACACTGATCGGAAAGAGTAGGGGACGTAGTTCCCGGTGTGGTGGTCTATCTCTCATCTGATGGTTAAATGCTCGGAGATATTAGCTGCATAAGCTACTCTGAAATCCGA